CCCAAACAAATCCTCAACCTCAACACTGTTGCCACAATCTCCCCCATACCCCCTACCTACCGTAGTGCTCTCAAAGATCCTAACTGATACAATGCTATGCTAGATGAATATAATGCTTTGATAGATAATCATACATGGGATTTAGTACCCCCCTCCCCTGACCAAAATATTATCTCTGGAAAATGGCTCTTTCGCCACAAACTTGGCCCAACAGGTGAATTGTCCAGGTACAAAGCTCGATGGGTCGTCCGCGGATTCTCTCAACGCCATGGCATCGACTACGACGAGACCTTCAGCCCGGTTGTCAAACCTGCCACTATACGCATCGTCTTGAGCCTTGCTGTGTCCAGAGGATGGACGATTCATCAATTTGATGTCAAGAATGCTTTCTTGCAAGGGTACCTTACTGACACTGTCTACACTGCTCAGCCCTCAGGATTTCAGGACCCTGCTCGTCCACATTATGTTTGCAAATTAAATAAGGCACTCTATGGGCTCAAACAGGCACCCAGGTCTTGGTACCAACGTTTTACGGGCTTTGTCCTTTCTCTTGGCTTCAGTGGATGTAAGAGCGACACTTCTTTGTTTGTCTACAGTCGCGGACAGGACATGGCTTTACTCCTGCTTTATGTTGATGACATTGTCCTCACAGCTTCATCCTCTGCCCTCCTTCAGCAGATCACAGAACGATTGAAGGGGGAGTTTGCTATGACAGACATGGGAGACCTTCACTTCTTTCTTGGGATCAATGTTCAGCGGACCTCTCATGGCTTGTTCCTCACTCAGACACAGTTCATTTATGACATCCTCGAACGGGCCGGCATGACTTCGTGCAAACCAGTTTCTACGCCCGTAGATACCCGTGGGAAACTTTCGGCCACCCTCGGTGCTCCTGCCCCGGATCCCTCTCTGTATCGCTCTATTGTGGGGGCACTGCAGTACCTCACTTTCACCCGTCCGGATATCACCTATGCCGTCCAGCAGCTATGTCTCTTTCTACATAATCCACGTGTGCCACATGTTACAGCCATGAAGCGCGTTTTGCGCTACCTACACGGCACACCCACCCATGGCATCACCATATCACCTTCTCAGACAGATCATATGCGAGCATATTCAGATGCTGATTGGGCTGGCTGTCCAGACACTCGACGGTCGACCTCCGGTTACTGCATTTTTCTTGGCGACAATCTCATTTCTTGGTCCTCTAAGCGCCAACTCACCACATCTCGGTCCAGTGCTGAAGCAGAATATCGAGCCGTTGCTAATGCCGTCGCTGAGGTCAGTTGGGTACGTAATCTGCTTTTAGAACTCCGGCAACCTCTGACACGCTCCACACTAGTTTTCTGTGATAACATCAGTGCTGTCTACCTTTCTGCAAATCCTGTTAAGCATCAGCGCACAAAGCACATCGAGGTCGACATTCACTTCGTGCGCGAAAGAGTAGCTCTTGGTCAAATCCGAGTTCTTCATGTGCCTTCTTCATTGCAGTATGCTGACATATTCACCAAGGGACTACCTTCCATGCTCTTCTCCGAGTTTCGAGATTGTTTGGGCGTGCGGTGTTCTTCATTAGTGCCGTTGGGAGCATGTTAAATATATTCTTACTATATTTAATATTCATGTATATTGGTAGCTACCATATTTGTATAGGATGTATTTATTATTGTTTCCTAATGTGATTAGGAAATCTTTGTATATATACACATGTAATCTCCCATAATTATTCATTGGAAATTATTCATCCTACACCGGCGTTACAACCAATTCCATTGCCCTCATAAGTTCAAATTCTAATTTGAACAATGACCCTTTGTGATTCATTAAGTTGAAAAATGTGTATGAACAAAATTTACATTCTAATAGAACTAATTATACTAAAAAAAACTTATTCGAGTGGCATTGAATTTAACAAGTTTGGATGAAAATAGTGAAATTATCAAGTTTAGAGGACACTCTTATTCCTTGATTAGGATTGTAGGAATAATTTGTAAATGAGTAGAGTTCACTAAATAATTGATTAAATGAAATGAAGCATCAAATTCTCTTTTTTATCTTAGTTATTGATGAAGTCTTGAATAGTAAATGCAACAATTGAATAGTAAATGCAACAACGCATCAAAGTGTTTAAAAAAAGCAATACTCCATATTTATAAAAAAAACTGAAAACTAAAAAAAATTAAAAATTGAAAAATTGAGAAATTGATATGAATTTATGATATATAAAAAAATTAAAGCTGAAAAAGAAAATTAGAAAAATTGACGAATTGATATGAATTTAGGATATATTAATTTATTTTTTCTTCTAATAATATCGTGTTAATTATCATTTAGATATAATTTGTTTACATGTGTTACTTTGTTAGACCATAAGGATAAGATTTTTATAATTTTTTTCTAGGTTCGGCCCAGGCTCATGAATTCTCAGGACCGGCCCTGGTTTCAATATCATGGGAACTTCACCGATGTTTTAGTCTAATTACGTAGTTCGAGTAAATATCTATGGTCTAGAGTATTATTCACTCCAAATGAGTTTTATATTGCACACCAAAGTTAATTTTTGTGAATTTTAATACTCCATAACTTTGTATTAAGATCAACTTCAATTCTTTGATTGAAATATTTGAACCGGTTTAAAACCATCTATATATACACCACATTTTCAAAAATCATTCAGAACTTTTTATAAATTTCGTTTTTGTGTGAAGGGGCTAGCTGTCTAAGATGTTGGCTCAGCCCATATATCATCTGAAGGCGGCGACGAGCTTCGTCGCGACGAAAGGGTCCTCCTGGTGGAGATTGAATCTGTAGACGATGGCGTGGAGTTGCTTCAGGTGATTTACGTCTCTGCATTTGTGAAGGTCGGAGAATTTCCGGTCGAGGAGGCTTCGGTCGGAGACCCGGGCGGGCGCTCGGAGGGAGGTTGGCATCTGCATACTCTCGCCGGAGAAGCTTCTGGACTTACCTCCGAGACCGGAACTGGGATTGGAATTGAATTGGAATTAAGATTCCATGGATTCAATTTCATAGGAATTGAATTCACCAATTCCAATTCATCTTTTGCACTACGAATTTCAAATCCACATAATTTTTATGCTACCAAACATGAGAATTGGAATTAAAATCTTCAATTTTAAGGGTGGATGGAGTGCCAAACTGCCAAATGGTCCAATGGAACACGAAAGTGACTTTTCCATTCACAACTTTTAGACGGATAACAGTACAATAACTGAGCTATCTTTTTTTTCTTTTTTGGAGTTTTCCTTTGTGAATAATGTTATTTCTATATTAAGAATTTCTACCCTATTTTGTACACTATAGGGATGCAGTAATATTTTGTGTTGGCGTAATGCTAATTTTTGTTAACGCACTATCACTTTGTATCAGTATGAACCATCAAAATGTTGGTGCATACTTTTGATGTACAAATGGATACCAATTTTGGGGTACATGTAGCATGCTCCTTTCCTTCTTCCTCCTCCCCTTTCTTAGATCCGAATTTCAGTCCAAGTGACCACGGTGGACACTAAAAATAAAGTATTTCGTTCGCAAAATTGACAGTTCTTGCTTCCCACTAAACTCTCTCACGTCCTAATTAGTCTTGACCCCAACCTGTATCTCTATCCACGTTAGTTGCGGGTGCAAATTTAGTTGACTTTGAGATCACAATTTTGATGCCAAAGTCAATTAGACTTGCACCCCACAATTAACAAGGATAGGAAGATGAGTTGGGGTCGGAATTAGGTGAGGGTTCACCGAGGGGTTAGGGTAGGGGGTAGGAACTCATGGTGTAAATTAATTACAAGGGAAAGGTGAGAGCTCTTATATAAAATTAGATTAATAAAACATTCGATGTCACTATTTTATCCATAATTTTTTAATATAGTTTAACATATTGATATTTTTCTATTTTATCATGTAGATTAATATACAAAAAATAGTCATATTCATATTAAAAAATTAAAGAAAAAAATAATGACTGAATCGTAAAAATGGTGAGATGATCTAAATGATAAAAAATTTATAAATGATATTAAATTAGACAAAAAATATATATTAAATTAGATAAAAAAAATGATATTGAATAATAAAAAATTTATAAATGATATTAGATTAGACAAAATTATAACCTCGATAATCTAAATGAATACCGTGCACCAAATGGGTCATCTTTGCGAGGAGGCCCGTGAGGATTGTTGATACGGGTTTATATTTAGTTATTTACCATTATTATTATATAATTACTATTATTTTATTAGGTAGTATCATTATTTATGGTTAGTTAATTATATTATTATTAGAAAGTACTCCGTAGTATTCTATTATTAGGATATTTGTTACCAATTATAATTAGGATTCCTAGTTTATTTAGTTTCCTTCTACGGTAAGGATTCTTTAGGGGTGCTAGCTATATATGTATCCATTTCAATGAATTATTAATCAATGAATAAAGAAAATACCCTTCTCCTAAACCCCAATTTCTCCCTTCCTCGCCTCTTTTGTTCTTGGAGCTCGAAATCCTTCCCTATCTCGATACGATACCGTATCAATTGTTCAGAACATTATTCAATATGGGTCTTATCGTCACAGTCCGAGTCCACGCCCATAATTACAGTAGAAGAAGACAACCCTCAGGACGTATTTGTGTGTTTGTCTTCAGCGCAGCCCGACAAAGCGAAAAATTTAATCTCACTAAAACTATAAAAGTTCAACTAAAAGTCGAATTTTGAGTAAAATCTTGTAGAAATTTCATAAAATCAATTGGTGTGTATATCACCGAAGATTCTGGAAATAATAAACCACCCATATATGCATATATGAGCCTAGCGGTGTATTGAGTCACCCACTCATGCAGATGATGAGAAAATTAGGTATGAACCCTTTTCCACCCTCCGCTCTGCTAAGTATAACATATAAGTAAGGACAAAAATATGCTATTTCAAGATAAATCTTTTCATTCAATGTTTACTCCAGATTTTTTTATTTTAAAAAAAGTCTTTACCGTTCTTTTTTACTCCGTACCTTTTTTGTTTTATTACTTATTCCCTATTTTTTAGTCAAAGTTTAGACCTCAAAAAGCTTAACTTTTGTTGTTTTTTTTTTGCTGCTATTGTTGTTGTTGTGTGTGTGTGTGTTAGAGAGCATCTTCAAACTCTCTTTATTGAAATTCACTGCCGCCCGTATGTAGTGCTATTGAAATTTATCCAAACAATGAATTTACACAACTTCTCAACTAGAAATTTATTATGTCCCTCACCACCATGCTATACTTGTCATCTCTAGGAGTTGTCAAAAGTGTATTGCCTCCATCATGTGCAGGTAAATCATTGAGCAAAGGTGCAGAATGTGAAGTTGAAGATTTTAAAATCTATTTCCGTTTGCTTTTTCGAGGGTGTAACCCTGTATTTGGTGATGTCGAATCTACTAAAGCTGAGTGGTTTTCTATTTCGACACAGTATCCTACGTATGGATGCATCTCCCCAGTCTTTAAGGAGCCAGATCAACCCTATACCAACATTTTTTATTATGCACTTGCCATACGGCCTTATATCTTTATCATCTGTGAGCTGATGTACACAAATGGGGACACGATACCCTCGCGGGTTGTCTTTTATCAGGATGATGAGTGGCAGGACGCTCCACCCCTGCGTGGGGAAACCCACAGTTATTTCTTCTTTCAGGCCAATGACAAGATTTATGGTTTGGGAATCTTTACAAATCTCACTTTCGAAGTAAAGTGTCTTGACTTCCATGATTTGGCTAAATGTTGGCAGTCCATGTATCTATCCCATTGGTGATAAAGCGTCTAGACTCCAGATAGCGGCATGTTATTCTGTTTGTGCTTTCGATCAAACTTGAATATAAAACTATGGATGATTCAGCTACCAGTGAAAACAAACCCGTTGCTACACGAGCTATGATTTTCATCTGTCTAGGGAGCATCTGGGGGAGGATTTTTACGGCACGGGTGTTGGCCTTGGGAATAACCTTATTTACGGGTTGGTCTTGAACGAGCAAAATCTAAGATCCATTCTTAAGGCCTTTAAAGACGATGTTCCGGAATGGTGCCCAACCCCAGTTCTTGGTTTGGGGAACATTGACAATGCTTTGCCGGTGGGCTATGGCCTTGTGTATCCCCCCAGCAAAATTGTTGGTCATAGGCAAAGAACGTCTTTGTATTATTTGGGCTAATCGTCGCTCTGCCATCACTCGAATTTATTGCACCAAGTTTAGTGTTCTTGTGAATGATGGGAATTCACATGCTATTAATGTTACCGAACAGGTGTACAAGGTCAAGGGATTTAGTGCGGAAAATTTAGAGGCCTTGTAAGTAATTGTTTGTTTGTGTGCATGTGCATGTGTTTCTTTCTTCTTCTTCTTCTTCTTTTTTTTTTTCTGTTTTCTCTAGTTGCCGAAGGTTGCGTTGTTCAGAGTAAGTAGTGGATTATGACTTATGAGAGTCACCCTGCACATGCAACAGAATGATATTTTGGGAGTGCAACCCCATTGTACTCTCTAACAGAGAGAGTGCACATAGCATTTGTCAAGTAGTCTTTGTTAACTTTAATTGGTTTGCCAATTTGCTCTGCTGCAGTGTTAGTAGCAGTGAGATGCAATCACTATTCCAGGAAAGGGAGAATGCACGCAGGCAAGTGGGCTCTGCAAGGTACCCTATGATATAGAGTTTCTCAACTTTTTTGAATACTATCATGTTTAGGACTTTTTAAAATCTCAATTGAATACATTCAGATTTTAAATGACTTTTTAAAATCTAAATTGAATACCTACATATTTTCAAAATCCATCAGAATCCTGATTGAATACACCCCCTAAATTTGATAGAATTAAATTCTACATATTCAATTTTTTTTTTTGCACTATTAATTCTAAATTTAAATATTTTTTGTACGGGCAAATATCAAATTTTGAATTGAAGTTTCAATTCTAATTTCATGAGTTGAATTTAAAATACCAAAGGCTCCCTTTGGTTTTTTAAATTCTTTGATTGAAATATTTGAATCGGTTTATAATCCTTCATGATTTAGTACGTGAAAACAGCAATAATTAAATCAGTTCCAACAAAAAAAATTATTTGAAAATTTTGGTACACTTTGGAACAAATTTTACGGTTCTATGCTGCATTTTTTTGTACCCAATGACATTACAATCTAAACCATCTATATATACACCACATTTTCAAAAATCATTCAGAACTTTTTATAAATTTCGTTTTTGTGTGAAGGGGCTAGCTGTCTAAGATGTTGGCTCAGCCCATATATCATCTGATGATATATCCTACCTGATTTAGGATGATCACTCTCCATCAACTCTATAGAACCCACACCACATGGTTTTTCCAAGCCAATGTCTATTGCCAATCTGGCATCCGAAGTCACACCCCTCCCAAACTCGGCTAGATACTCGCGCACGTGTGGTGGGAACCCTACATCATTGTGCATTTGGCACGCCCCGAGAAGGGAATGCCAGATTTTGATGTTTGGTTCCATGGGCATGTTGAGAGCAAGGGCGAAAGCGTCTTTGAGATGCCCACCACGGCCTAAGAGATCAATCATGCACCCGAAGTGCTGGACTTGGGGCACGACGCCGTAACGGCTCCTCAATGAGTTGAAAATAGAGAGGCCTTCGTCCACCAAACTAGCGTGGCTACACGCCGACAAAAGGGCAACAAATGTAACTTCGTTTGGGACGAAGCCTTCGTTTTCCATCACGGAGAAAAGCTCTAGGGCCTTTTTCCCATGTCCATGGACGGCGAGCCCATGGATCATGGAGTTCCATGACACCAAGTCTTTCTTGATGGTGTTGTTGAACACGATGAGCGCCTTGCTCAAGCTTCCACACTTGGCATACATATCAATCAAAGCATTGCGAACCCGAGTGTTAGAATTAGTGTTATTAAAACAACTCTTTTTGATGGAACGATGAACTTTTTTACCCAACCCGAGCATTCGGGAATCTGCACATGCAGCTAGGATGCTCACAAACACTCTAGGATCCAAACTCAAACCGGATTTTTCCAATTGTGCGTACAATTCCACGGCTTCCTTCGCCAGCCCCATTTCAGCATAACCAGTTATCATGATTGTCCAGGTGACCTCGTTCTTCGAAGGCATCTTGTCGAAGAAGGCGCGGGCCATCTCAAGATCCCCTGCTTTGCAATACCCAGAAATCATGGTCGACCACGATACGACATCTCTGCAGGGCATTTTATCAAACAGTTCATATGCGAGATTCATTTGTCCGCCCTTCACGCACCCATCCAACATGGTGTTCCAACTCACTGTGTCTCTCTCAGGCATTACGTCGAACAGTTTCCGGGCTTCACTCAAATCTCCAGCTTTCAGAAATCCCCCAATCATGGAGTTCCATGAGACCACATCTCTACGATCCATTCCCCAAAACAGCCTCTTAGCAGAACAAATCCCGCACCTGGAGTACGCGTCAATCAAGGAATTGCACAAAATGGGATCCGAATCAAACCGTTTCTTCTCGAAAAGGGCGTGGATCGTCCTCACAGTATTCAACCACAATTCGTCCGAACAGAGCTTCAAAAGATAAGAGTAAGTGAGATTGTCCGGGGGAACGCCGCGGCACTGCATCTGCGAGAAGACATAGAATGCCTCCGATGGCCGGGAATCAACAGCACAGGCTTTGATCGCGGCGTTGTACAGGTGCACGCTGGGTTTTTCAACTTGACTGAAAATCCTGACGGCCAGCTCGATGTGGCTGCAGAGGGAGAAGGCGGCGACGAGCTTCGTCGCGACGAAAGGGTCCTGGTGGAGATTGAATCTGTAGACGATAGCGTGGAGTTGCTTCAGGTGATTTACGTCTCTGCATTTGTGAAGGTCGGAGAATTTCTGGTCGAGGAGGCTTCGGTCGGTGACCCAGGTGGGTGCTCGGAGTGAGGTTGGCATCTGCATACTCTCGCCGGAGAAGAATCTGGAGTTCGCCTCCGAGATCGGAACTGGGATTGGGAAGGTTTAACTCTTCGCCTGAGGTTTAAGGAGTGCCAAATGGTCCAATGGAACACGAAGGTGACTTTTCCATTCACAACTTTTAGACTGATAACAGTACAGTAACTTTTCCTCTTTTTGGGGTTTTCCTTCTTCCTCTGAAAGTCACGAAGGCTATTCCTTTAGCAAAATTGATATTTCTTGCTTTCCATAAAACTTTTTCAAATCTGAATTAGTCTTGACCCCAACGAGTATCCCTACACCGGGATGCAAATTTAGTTGACCTGAGATCAAATTTTGGATACCAAAGTCAATTAAACTCACAGCCCACAATTAGGAAGATGAGTTGTTGTCGAAATTAGGTGAGGGCTCACCGAAGGAGTTAAGGAAGGGGTAGGAATTGATGAAGTTAAGCTCCAGACTGGGTCTAAGGCAAAATGCTAGATTGAGATACTAAAAATTACGTAACTCGAGTTACTGTAGGTGAGAATACTTGTAGTATAATTGTTATCAATATAAAAAAATACTATAGGTTAGGACTATTGCAGACTCGCAATGTGGTTCTAGAGAGTAGAAATTATAACCCCCTCAATGAGGAGCTGCATCCGTATTTATATTTATAGTAAGTCTAAGGGATAAGGTCACGTGCGCTCAGTAGACTTGTGCTATGTTCTTGAGTTTTATATATATATATATATATATATATAATCCTATAGCATTTGTCCTTCATTCTCTAGCATATATCCTCTGTGCATGTCTCCTCTTGGCGTGTACGTGTAGTGTTAGGAGGAATGCTTCAGGTCCCAACCGTTGGTATATGGAACCTAGCCCAACTAAGTTACTTTCGTCCAATCAAACATGTCCCCCAATCGATCTGCAATGTCAGTGATGTCTCAAGTCTTAGATGTTTGCCCGGACAATCTCTGTAGGCAAATCTTGAGTTCATTCCTGTCATCCGTAGATCACCCGGCCGGTTTCAGGCCAACTAGCTATTCATTTGTGCGCTGTTAATGCGGACCAAGGCTTCATCTGGTTGGGTTTGGTTAGTCATGACCTAAGTCTAAGGGATAAGGTCACGTGCGCTCATGCCACGGTAGACTTCTGCTATGTAAAATATCATTGTCACTACTAGTTTTGTAAATCTTTTAATGTAGTTTTTTAATATGTAATTTTTATTTTTTAATTCTATAGTATTTGTCATATAAAATGATTTGAAAATAATTTCAGTCAAACATCGTAAATTGAAACAGGCGTTATAAATTGGGACGGAGGTAGTATATTGTAGAGGCACTAACTAGTGGAGTACAATTAGGTACCCCTACAAAATGAACAAGACTCCACTCGTTCGGGTCGGACTACCGGTTGAGCAGCATTCCGACCATGGCAACGGCTATATCTTCGGCACTATTTCCTCACACTCCCCTTAATCCATCCCTCTTTCCCTCTAAATCTCGAACGCCGCCTCTGTGTTTCCGGAACGATAAGCTGTTAATACGCGAAATTTCCCCGCTCCGGCCTCCGCTCACGGCGAGACCGCCGTCGTGCACCAGCCCCGACGCCACCGCCGCTGACGAATCGTTAGGAATCGACGCTCTTCATCGCTTCATCCGACTAAATACCGGCAAATGGACAGGCTCTTTCAATGTGAGATCCTGGATTCCTTTCGCTTGAGTAGCAACAATGTGACCTACAGCTGAATGCGATGTCGTTTTGATGCGTTCCTTTTGATTTTTTTTTTTTGCAGCAATTTGACAGTCACGGGGAATTGCTGCACACTGTTAGCACGAAGCTTGCAGTGGGATCTTATGGGGAAGATGAACTCATCAGCTTAATTCAAACGTATTTTCAAACTTTATGTTCTTAGGCTCTTCCAGTTTCATGCCATTTACTGTATTATTTGAAGTCCAAGAATGATTATATATTCTATGCTGTGATAGAGAGTTATGGTTGTTACTCAACACTTACACTTCTAAATTTGGATGATAATTGCAATACTGCTTTATGGGTTGGTTTGTGTGGTTTCACAGTGTAAGAGTTGGGAAGATAGCCAATTTATCACTTAGGCTCCATTCTCGATTTCTGGTCTGGCCTAAGCTGAACAAGTTACAAGATTCATTTTTTAGGGATTGAGTATTTCAAGTTAATGGATTGGTTAACTTATTAATTATGATCCATTCAAATTTAGTACGTCTCATCACCATTCAAATTTGATGCATCTGAAAGAGGCATTGCATTTCCGTAGATAATGTCATGCCGAACTTTATAGGACTATGCACCAATAGCCATTAGGCTGCTAGCCATGAACCTTGTTAGTACTGACAGCTTTTAACTTTCAGGTTATATATCAGACAACCTCAATCTACAACTTCAGTATCAGAGGACAATTACGAAACAGAATGGTTTGAGTACAAAATTAAAGAGACCAATATGTTTACGGTGGACAAATATCAACAGGTAAGAGTCGTTGTAGAGTATTGCACACTTGCTTTTCGCTTTCTTTTTGTTTTCTTCATTTACAGTCTAGTTTTCAGATAGGCTTTTTCCCAGAGGACAAGGCATTTGCATTGAGATATCAAACAGCCGGCATGTTAGAAACGGTTTTGAGACAAGGAGTGTTAGGTGAAGATGATACTGAAGAAGAGTCACCAAGGTAGATTAGCTTTTCTTGTCAAGAGGGAAGCAACCCTTTATATGTATTCATGCTTGAATATATTCTTATATGACATGCTAAGCCATCTTGATTGGTTGCTGTACTCTCATTTTGTTCCCTTCCATTTTTTCAGAAACCTAAAGATACCATCTAAAAAGCCTTCTGTGGTGTGTGAGAGTTGTCTTTATTCACTAGAGAAAGACATGCGAGTAAGAGCATTTCATATCATGGACCCAAAAGGTATCCTTGAAATGCTTCTAGTTTTCCTAGAAGAAAGAGGTGGTAGAGAGGGTACCCCTCCTACCTTTGACACATCTAAGGTACTTTACATCAATGTGAAAGTCTCCTCATCTTGATTTCTTGTCACTCATTCAACAATTCTGCTAGTATACTTTTCATTTCTACTAATAGGATGAAAGTGGTGACAACTAGATGGGTTCACAACTTTGGATTATAATGGACAGTTTTAAAACAATCAATTTGTCCATTTATGATCAGTAAAAATTTCATTAAAAATCAATTATATCCCCGATAAATTTAATACTACTATATTACATCCATTGGCAATTTTCTCATTGATGAATACTTGTCCATTTTGTCTTCATACTTTTCATGTTAGAGATGATTGGGCATTGCAGACAGCCACACTTCAGCATATGTATTGTAATCAATAGAATAGCAAATCGTTAATAATGTCAAAAGCTCGATGGTTCCTATTGTTTTAAAAGATTTTATATATGTGATCTATTGGTTTAACAGTATTCTGAAACGATCACTAACCATCCATATAATACTAATTTGCAAATCAATGGGTTGAACCCTTGAGCTCACATTTGATCTCAGAGTACATTTTTAATGGGTGAATTAGATATATTTCAACCTGTTTCTGATGGATGATAGATGATTAGATTTGGTTTTCACCTTTGTATTCTGTAACAGGATGAAGCAAACAGGATTTTGCCGCATGTTGGGAGATGGAAAGGTCACTCTGTCACAAAGCGTACTGGCGTGTATGGAGCAACCATACAGGAAGCAGATACAATGGCCTTGTTTGAAATGAACAAGGATGGTCACCTAATCCAGGTTCGAATCTCTACTCCAGATTTATATACGGTTATTCACCAACTTTTTGTCACATCTTCAGACATCAGTCTTCAAAATGATATTGCTCAATGTGCTTTTTGTAACTTTATAACGTGTGCTTCGAGTTAAGAGATAAATGATAGATCCACACGCACTCATGTATAAGCGAACGCATAAGGGGCTTAATGCTATGTAATTTATTCCACAACAAATTTTGTTCCAAAAGTTCATGTGGTAATATAAAAGTGTTGTAGCTTGAAGGCTACAGTCATAAAACAACTTAAAAAATCACAACAGTCAAAGCTACTCTTATACCACACCACCTAAATTTTGACAAATTATTAGTACGCACAGTTCAAATTTATTCATAGCACTTAGTCACTTACTCTAAGATACTAGCCGATCACACTTCTTTTCCTTCTTCACAGTTCAGTACTTTTATTCACACTTCAACATTGTATACCTGTAATACCGAACTGGCGCAAAATCTTTAACTTCTACTGTCAGATTGATGTATTAGAATGAAGAGTAAATTCCCAAAATGGTTCTTTATAATATGGTGTTTTCCCAAATCAGTCCTCATTTAGAAATAATTACCTATGTGGTACTTTATACTTGAGATTTATTCCCTTGGTAGTCCTTCATATGAAATTTCCATCAAATGATTATTATGTGTAGTGTATTTTGTTATTTTCATCATCCAAACTATGAGAAAATTCTCAAAATAGTGTTTTCAAGTTAAATATTTTCCTAAATCACTCTTCTGTGGTTATAATTACAACCCAACTGTCAGAAGGCTACCGTGGGAAAACGCCCTGTTAGAAAGGACAATTTTGGAAATTCACTCTAGAAGGAATTTTCATTGTTTCATACTTCAATCTCTATGTGTAGGATATCACATCCACACTTTTAGGGACTGATGCTACCACTAATGTGCATTGGACTGGTACCGTATCTGGCAATGAGGTCTCATTTGATGGCGGTTTCCAGTTTATCTTGTTGCCTGGTGGCATGTACATGGGGTGTCCATCTGATATAGCGAAAAGCGTGAAGGATTCCAAGTCCTTTCATCTGGAGCTGTGTTGGCTTGACTCGCTGGCTCAAAAGAGACAGAGACTTGTCCGAACTTTTGACGTGCAAGGCCTAGTTGTATCATCAACATACTTCTTTGAGACAAAACTGTGAGTGGTTTCTTCATGATCTCTCATCTACAAGAGTTTACCCCAATTCTTTCATTTTGTCCACACACACATAGATTCTTGAATCTATGTCTGTGAATTTATGTCCTTAAGAACCAAAAGAAGATTGGGTCACGTTTATTAAATCAACTCCAGACATCTAAAAGACTAAAAAAATCAAAAGAAAAACTTACATTATGATTCAAAGATTTTGAAAATCTGATGTTATGGTTACAGTGCAATAGTCTTATTTTGTGGGATAAAACCATAGAATTCCTATTTCGAGCCAAATTGTTGCAGTGCATTAGTTGTATTTTGGGATAAAACCACAGAAGAGTCATATTTCGAGCATATAGTCTATGGTTTGGTCATAGCAAGGAGTATATTTTGAATTCACAAACTTTAAAAAGTGTTGAAAAGTGAATTCTTGTGTGTAAACTTCACACAATTTTTGCTTTTCAATATTGTTTTTAAAGTTCATGAACTTATATTGTAAGTTTCATTTTGAGATGTACAGAGTATAAATCAAATGTTAGTACGTATTTAATATTGGGCTATGAAAGATGTTTTAAGAGCAATGCCTTAATGATTTTTTTTTGAATGAAATTGAAGTTCAAGTAAGAAAAATCACAGTCAAAATACGTTTTATTGCAGAAAAACTAAAATAATCCATTTTGAAGTATGAATGGCAATTTTTTGGTTTGGGTTCTGTATATTAAGAATAACTAGGGATAATAATAGAATTTAATGTTGCATTTAGATACTCTTTCCCTTCCCAAAAAAAATATTATTTTCGTTTTATTTTTATCCGTCTCAAAATAATTATAACCAAGTACTTTTCTTTTAAGAAAAAATGACATGATAAAAATATAAATTTGTAAATAAATACTTCGTATATTTATTTACATGGTAGGACAGGTAAAAAATGTGAAAAATATTACGTAAAAACTCCATATTTAAGAACGGAGGTGGACCACGTGGGAAATTGACGACTCCAATTAATAAATTTTTGCCTTGTTGTACTGAGCCCTACCATTTGTACCATATAATCACATTCCATTTCTCCAGGTTTATTTCTCTAATTTTTTTAAAAACTTCATCGTTTTTTTTATTTTAAATTAAATAAAAATGGTGCATTACTTTACCACAATACAAAAATATTTTCATTAAATTAATCTTGTGAAATACTTTCAAAAGAATTTTTCGATTGTATAAGCCTGCAACATGATTTTTGTTTGGTTGATGATCAAAGTTCTTTATTGTGATAAAAAAAATCAAACTGGTTAAGCCAGGAGAAAATATCTAACTCTGATCAAAACTTACACTATGTATCAAAATAAGATTTTCATTTTGAATAGGGAAATGATATCTGCACTCTAGTTTTTTATATTGGCATTCCAAATTGCACTATTCACTCTCGCACGTAAATAGTATATTTTGAAGGGCCGATAACAAAAAGAGTAAAATACAATAACTTTTATATTTCAATTTTAAACCAATAGATAAATAAATTTAATTAAAAAAACAAATTGAATAAAAGACATACTCCTAAATAAAAGAACGTTTTTTTCCTTTGGGAATCAACTAATTGAGGGATTACTGATTAATTAAGTCAACTGGCTGGTGTCCCTATCTTCTCCATCTTTTTGCAAGTTGTAAGGACCGTCCCCACCGGCCCACCCGACCCGGTCCATTTCAGTGTTAACTGTCTGATTAGTTCAGTCTCTTTGTATTTAAATTTCTAATTTTTTTATTTAATTTTTTGTGTTCCATAACATATTTGGTACTTCGTACATATTCCATCCGTCTATAAATAGATTACAATTTTTTTTCTCTACTCTCGATAACTTTTGTTTGTTTTACTTAAGTATTTGATAAAATAAAATATTCTTGTCACCTCTTGTTTTGTAGAACTTTTGACGTAGTATTTTAATATGTAATTTTTATATCGTATTGATATATCAATTTGTAAATAAAATAATTTCAAAAAGTAGGAAATTTTACTCCGTAACCCGCAATTTGTAATCAATATGAAACACACTATTTTACTCTGTACATTTTTTAATATGGCAAGACTCACAAGGTATATGAGCTAAATAATGTAATTTCAATAGTCACTAAAAAATGATTTGCAAGACATCATAGTCTAATTCCCGTTTGGAAACACATCGTGAAATTAATGTATAAAAATTTTAAAATCAAGAAACCTTTCTTAATACTAAAGCATGAAACATATAATAAAATTAAATCTAATACATGTTTTATCTTCTAAATAAGCATGTTAGCATTTCACAATTTTTTTGACGTTATATTTTAGCATTATATAAGTCTAGCTTGTTTTGATATAAAAATATTGAAAGTCATATTTTCATATAAGTGAGTGTTTTTAGTACTCCGTATTAGTTAAGTATTTTTTTCCAATTATATTAATTATTATATATACTCTATCCATTTGTTCAAGATTGAATCTGACATTTTGATTTTATGAAGTTTTAAAAAATACTCCATATTAAGTAGTAGGTAACTGGTTAGAATTTGTTTTGAAGATAGAAAAATGATACGGATGATAAAAATAAAATTGTTAGCTCCAACAATACTTTTCCTAGGACAAGAAGTAAATTACAAATGGACCTCAATTTTTTTTTATTTACAAAAATGGACTTCAAATACGGATTATAATGATAGCTAGTATGAAAAGATATTTTGTTGGCGACCTTATAAAAAAGATACTTTGTTTGTATCTCCAACAATGGAGAGTGATAGGAATTAATTAATGATATTGTATTTTGAAAGTAGTACGTTGACTATGCACACAGCGTTAATACACTCATTATGGTCAATTATTTTTAATTTTTGGCTTATAAATAAATAAAAAAATATATTGCATATTAATTAGATAAAATAATATTTTGAAAATACTTAATATAATAAATCTAATAAATTATTTTTATATCAATGTCTAAGATCATTTTTATTTAAATTGAGGTTAACGCTTAACAATTTTGACAAAAGAAATGGACAAACACTCAAAGACAGAAGGAATATATGTTACATTCAATATTCATTTAAACTAGTTATTGTAATTAAAAATTGTGAATCAAGTTATGTTATCTAACGAAATTTATCTTAACATTAATACGGAGTATGATTTTATAATTTTTCTCTTGTTTATATCACTTTTAATAACACAATTTTTTTTATTTTCGTGTCATTTTGTCCCTTTTTTGAAAGAGAAAAAAAATACTCCGTAAGTAAATGATTGAGTACAGTTGGTATATAGAGCTACTCCGTATGAGCTAGCAAGAAGAAGCTGAACAATTTCACAGTTTCTGAAATATGGGTGAAATCGCAAACAGAGCTCCAGCCGCCATTGCGGCGCGTTCGCGGCCCACGCTAACAGTCGTGCCCCGCGCGCCACTGGATTCCCTCTTCTCCGACGGGTTCGTACCCGGTTTCAGCCCGGGTCCCATGACCCTCGTCTCCAGCTTCTTCGCCGCCGACTCCGATGCCTGCTCCTTCTCCCAGCTCCTCGCCGGAGCCATGGCTTCCCCGCTCGCTCTGGCCGCTAATTCCTCCGAGAAGGCGGTTTCCGTCCCTGGGTGCGAGAATTTGCCGCCCCGGTACAAGCAGAATCGGCCGGTGAGCGTGGCCGTCGCCGCCGCCCTCTCGCCGCTTCTCGTCGTCCCCCCTGGATTGAGCCCTTCCGGCTTCCTCCAGTCCCCTGGTTTTCTCTCCCCACTTCAGGTGATTTCCCATATAATATAAATAAATATTCCTCAATTCTTACGAACTCTTGTGAATTTTCTTTCCCCCCCGATCCAATTTCAAATTTAAGATATTAACTTCAATTCGAATGAAAGTCTACTAGGATTGGATATATTAAAACCCTAAAGAATTAAGATGAGAAAAAAAAACATGACCTTAGTTCATTAGCATTTTTTCTTTGAAAAGCATTAACAAATCAAAATGAGAAATTTCAAAAAGAAGACAAAAGGGTCAAAGCTATGAAACTAAGTTTTGTTTGAGATTTGAATTTCAGAGGGATGAATATATTAAGACAGTGTCGATCGATTGGAAGATACCGATCTCGAAGCCCTTATGCTCAATTCCATGTGTTGTTGTGTGTTGATTTGTTTACTCCGTATTTATTTTCAGTTTATGTAAGGTGTAATTTTTTTCAGTTGATTTTTTGTTTTGTTTTGTGCAGAGCCCTTTTGGGATGTCACACCAACAAGCCTTGGCGCACGTTACGGCACAGGCTGCGTTAAACCAGTCTCAAAGGCAGCAAATGCAGGCCGAACACAGCCCATCTTCACCTCCAGATGCATTAGGGCACGAATCGTTGTCGGTGTCTCTCCCAACTGAGTCATTCCAAACCCAGCACGACGACGTTTCGTTCGACCAAGAGAGCTTGAAGAACGAACCTTCCGAGGTCGTCTCCCAATCACCACAGAGAGGACATCTTCCTCCTCCTCCCCGTGTTATGGAGAGGCCGGCTAAAGATGGTTATAACTGGAGGAAATATGGGCAGAAATATGTCAAGGGGAGTGAGTGTCCGCGGAGTTACTATAGATGCTCGCAACTCAAATGTCCGGTCAAGAAGAAAGTTGAACGGTCGGTTGACGGGCACATTAGCGAGATCACGTATAGAGGGCAGCATAATCACGAGCCTCCTAACCCCAGCAAAAGAAACACGGATGAGTGTGACGTGGAGGGTAGTGATTATAATGCACAAGCTAAGCCTCAAAGTGCTTCTTCTCATTGTTTGACTCATGTTAGCGGGTCAAATGAGATCGAGTTTTCCGAGTCGGACTGGTTATCCGACAAATTACCTTATGAGCTAGTTGATGGATTGGAGGAGAGTGTCATTGTATTTGAAGAGGAGGATGAACATATTCCCAAGAGAAGGTAAGGTGTCTTTTGGTAACCTTTTTTGTTTGTTTTTTTGAAACTTTTTTTCTTGAAATGGGAATAAAAACCAGTGTTTTTAAGTAGAATTTTTGAAGTCCTGGAAACGGGTGTCCGTTTTGGAGAGATCATAACTTATTTCAAGTCCCAAAGAAGCTATCAGCTCTATTTCGTAAATAGAACAGAAGCTCTTACACGAAAAGCTGTCTCCCATAGCTCTTTTTCTGGGAAAAAAAGCTTCTAGCAGTTTATTGTTTCTACTAATAACCTCATTCTTTTGCAAAAAAATGACACCATACATTCTCTATCATATCATTGATATAAAGATTGTCCAAAAACTACAACTCCCTTAGGTCCATTTAGGAATTAACGCACTTTCTAACACGGATTACCATTTTGTTATTAGATTACTTGCTACGTAGTAGTATTTTACAACTTTCAGCTCGTTTCTACTTGCATGATTTAATGAATTTTGAATTCGTAGGAATTTGGTATCCCAGCCTATCCTAGTTCTTTCAAAAGTTCAAATTAATGCTCCCTCCGTCCGGAATCAAAAGTTGTCAACTTTAAAAGTTCTCATTTTTAAGGAATGGGTTTAAAATGTCAAATAAGTCCTTCAAAATTCAAATGGTTTTGTCACTCATTCATGTCAACAGTGCTTACCTCTCATCTCTATGATACTTTAGATACATCCATCACGAATTCATTATTAAATATGAAAACCGGAAAAACGGAAACAAGAAAGCTGACAAGTAAATCCGGATTCCGTGGGTAAATAGTGGGCACTTTGTTTTTTGGTTGTTAGATGATCTAATTCGTTGGTTTGGGTGCAGGAGGACGGAAGTAGAGGCGGCGTCATCTGCTCCACCATCATCTCATAAAACAGTCACGGAGCCCAGAATCATAGTGCAGACAAGAAGCGAAGTTGACCTTTTGGATGATGGATATAAGTGGCGTAAATATGGACAAAAAGTAGTCAAGGGAAACACTCACCCAAGGTATATCTCCATTGTCCTTTGATGCATTCAAAGAAAATCTTAGTTTTACTCTTCGACTATCCTAAACTCTTCTACTGTTTTGTTTAAATACTCGCTTTAACGTTTGAAAACACACCCTTTCTAACCAAACACCGGAATTGCGTTTCCTTAACATTTTCTCTTCCTGTTTCCTTCTCAATCACTCGAACCAAACATAGTGTTAGAGCTGTGGTTTCCTTCTGAGTTCCCAGACTGCGGGTAACGTCTCTCTATACATATATATCGTTTCAATTTTGGGCTGCAGGAGTTACTACAGATGCACGTCCAGCGGATGCAGCGTGCGTAAACACGTAGAAAGGGCCCCCGCGGACCCCAAAGCTGTCATAACCGCTTACGAAGGCAAACACAATCACGACCTCCCAAGTGCTGGTAAAAAAACACGCTCGCAGTCAAAGGCTGAAATGTGATGGTAAAAAACAGAGAGAGCTGTGTTTGTAAAATGTGTGGCAGCTCTAAGACTTCTTTCTATCTTTCTGCTTTCACTCGAAGCCATCCCACGATACAGTAAAATTACGGGGTAGTAAACTGTGTAAATTCTTACCTTGTTCGTGCTACCGTGGTTATTTAATTTTACTCTATCTATGCCTTTTGAACCTGTCACTTGGGACGGGCTCGTTATTTTCTTCTAGTTGAGGTAAGGTTTGCGTACACACATTTGATCTTGTGTTTCGTTTGGTTTTTCTTAGTGAATGTACATTTGAAAGTTTGGTAATTTTTCTGCATTTCCTTGTTTTTTTCGTAATACATTTTCTCATTGAAATGTATTTCGTAATATTATTTTTTTTGCAATAAATACTCTAGGAGAATAATTCAGGCAAATATTCTCCTTAACTACTTCGTGCCAAGTCTTCTCAGATCGATCCCTTCTTCTAGGTTCTAGCCTTAGAATATTCATGTAAAAATATTTAAATTTTGGATGCACTGTTGATAATTATGTAAATTTGGTAGTATTTTCTTATAAAATCTCAAATTTTTGGAAGTATTTACATGAATTTTACCTATAAAGAAATCAAGAAGACGGAATTTAGCACATCAAAAGTTGGAATAAAATATTCTTTCTTCCCGAATTAATTATCTTTGCATTTCAGGGTTTAAAAAAGTATTGATAAGTAAAAAGTGTGTGGTTGAAATTTAATTAGAACAAAAAGAAAGTTTGAGTAGTATATATTTTTCTCTTTTTCCTAAAATTAAAAATTACTACATATTCCTCTTTTTTACAATTAAAAGACTATTTTACTATGTTTTAATTTTCATTTTTACATTTTTTTTATTTCACTACATCATCAACGTGAAAAAATGAAAAGTCAATTTCTTTATAATCTTATACATTTGTTTTGTTTTGCAAATCATCAAAAACGTAAAGGAGAAAAAATGTTGTCTTGTCATGTACTTACATTAAAAAAATTGTCATACATTTACACTGCTTATTTTTTAGTTCAAAACCTAAAGTTAAGAGTTCAAACGCTATAATTACAACTCACGGTCTTAAATGTTAAAGTGATTAAACGTAGTCTAACTATTTCATGTCCATCTTAAAGTGTTTCGTTTGATAAGAATCACAATATTCAACTTTAGCAGTAGAAACACATGTCTTACACAGAGACAAGGCATTTTAGTACTTTTCATTGTCAAAAACTTTAAAGTGGATAGGACTGATCCCATTTAGAAAAAAGTGATATGTTTAAGTCCTATTTGCCTAAACTACCTATTTATTTTTCCTTGTTTCCTTGACCATGGTAAGAAAAATAAAATTGAACCTTATTTTTTGATGTTCATGTGTTTTTATATTGATTATTATAATATAAAAATAGAAAAAACAAACAAATAATCCTAAACAAAAAAACAAAAGAAATAATAATAATAAACCCGAAAACATAAAAAAATTATTATTTTATATTTAATTTGAGTAGAAATCGGTAAAATAAATAAATTAAAAATTAAAGTGTAACCGTTGTAGTGGAAATGAGGCACTATATGTGTGAACTGTGAAGTGAGTGAGATACTGAATACAATCATCACTGATATGGCGCCGAGTGGCTGCTGATTTAGAGTGAACCGTTGTGCAATGCTAAAGATAGCCTGTGTGATAGTAACCATCTATATATATACTTCTTATTATATACGGAGTATATATTTATTGCATCAAATTCATTGCACACTTCATTTGTTCTCCATGGATTTTTCTCATTACATGTTACGAGCCTTGATATCATTGAGTAGTGTGTGTTTGATTGTCTGAAAACGTAATACCCCATTTAAAAAAGGAAAAGTCTGTCCTAATTCTTTAAGAATGTTGGGATTTAATACGAATATTTCAAGATTAGATAATTTCCAATACTTTATAATTTGTGAATTGGGAGCATTGTTGATGATTAATTGATAATGTGAATTTGATATACTCTTATAAAATTTTTAAATTTTCGGGAGTATCAACATTAATTTTCCCTATAAAGAAATTGGGAAGACAAAACCTCGGACATAAAAAAAAGACAAAACATCGGACATAAAAAAATTGGAACAATATAGATAAAAATACTCCATCCGTTCCAAATTAATCGTCGTTGTCAATTAACTTCAAGAAATTTAAGAATATTATAGAAAAATAAAAAGTGCGATTGAAATTTCATTCGAAGAAAGAGAAAGATTGAGTAATATATTTTTCTTTTTTCCTTAAAATTAAAAATTACTATTCATTTTTTTACAATTAATAAACTACTCCGAGTATTTTACTTGTAAAAAAGATGAATAATTAAAAAAGTATTTTACTCCTTTCAAAAAGACTATTTTACTCCTTAAAAAAACTAGTTTACTTTGTTATTCATTTTTTTTACATTTATTTTCGTTTCACTACATCATCAAGGTGAAAAATTAAAATTCAAATTTTTTTAATTATATGTTACATTTGTTTTCTTTTGCAAATCATCAAAACAGAAGAGGAGAAGAAAGTAAGGAAAAAATTGGTGTGATATTTTCTTGTCTTAGTCAATTGTCATACATTTACATTAAAGAAGAAAAATGCTTTACATTTACACAAGGCCACAAGATGATTGGGACACAAGTACAACAAAATTTGAAGTTCAAAACCAAAAGGCTAAAGAGTCCAAAAGCTATCATTACAACACAACGTCTTAAACGTTAAAGTGATTAAACGTAGTCTAAGTATTATGTGTACATCTTAAAGTGTTTGGTTTGACAAAAATCACAATATTTAACTTTAGCATTTTGAATAAGTGTCTTACGATTTTTAAAAATAATTGAACGTATTTCTTTTATGTTCCAAATATGCAGAGACAAATGCAATTCAATATGAAGTAATGTGCTAAAATAATTTTATATCTTAAACATTTAATTTATTATTTGTTTTTAAAAACAATGAGTGATAATAATGATCCATATACTTGTTTTTTTATAGAGACATAATCTTATTTATCTCGTTCTTATAACCATATTTTCTCATCATTAGTTTTTTAGTGACCTGTTACTTAAGAAATTAGGGGCCTTGTGATGGATATCGGGTTTAGCGCAAAATTATGAGATTTGCTCAACTTGTGTTTGGTTGATTGTTCCAACAAGTTTAAAGACTTTGAGCCGGAAGAAGGCCCGTTTCCCCTCTGTTCTAACACACTAGAAGATGGGTTGCACGCTAGGCTTAGATATGTGGGTCGATGATTGTGTCAATGAGCCAATCATGGATATTTATAAGTTTATATACAAATCTATGACACACTTACACCTCACAGATTAAATGTGTTCGATTTTTTCAACGTTTGAACTACACACGCGCACTCATCTCTTAAAATAAAATTCAATTAATTCATTTTTAGGAAAAAAATATGTAATTTAGTATTTTTTCTTTTCTAATTAAATTTGAATGGTTTTTTATTTTTCTAAATTTGGTAAATGAACATAAATTAATTTGAGTTGATTAATTTTATATTTTTATTTTTATTTCCAATCTAATTATCTCATGTCATATATTTTAAAATTATTTAATTTATATAGAAATAAAAAAGTACTATATACAAATTGTTATTTTAAAACTGTATCAAAAATTTTATAAACAAAATGTGATTAAAGTCTTCCAATCTGTGATTAAAATCCAATTTACTTTTTCTCAGTGACTATCCGATCGGATCTGAGGGGACTATCGGAAGACTCATCCTTTTTTTACTTTATTAAATAATTTATAGAAACTAGGCATTATTAAATAGCAATTAATCATCGAACAAACGAACAAAAAAGAAGAAACGTTTTTTTGCCACGGTGCCACCATATTAATGTGAGGGGATGTAATATAAAACACTGTTGCGTCAAATTTTCAGCCGTAACGCCTTCCTCCGCGCGCTCCCCTTCTCTCGCATTTGCTCCCACCGGTTCTCCATCTTTTTCCGGCGAAGAAGTGGAATCCCGGAGTCTCGTGTTTCTCACCTGCGATCCAACTGCACTGCTGAGCACCTCCATATTCTCCGGCGAAGCCGCAGTCAGCCGTGCGTTTCCTGTCTCCCGCTTTCTCCATTTTCTCCGGTGGGGAGATATCCCTGCAAAGAGCCGAAGAAATCCGTCTCTCTTCCGAGACAGAGTAACGGTAATGGAACCTACACTCTCTCAAGGCCAGATCCGGCGAAGAAACGCATGGATGTCCGATATAGGTTTTGTATGAGCAGGCTTTAGGTTTTGAAACACACATCGCGTATCTTCCGAAATGTAGATATGTGACTGTTTGTAGAACCTTATGCTTGAAATAGATCACTGTTTGCATTTAGAATTAGGCTTGTTTACTGTGGTTTGAAATTGGGAGAACGTGTCACTGCCAGCTCTAGGGTTGGTCACACTACTAGGAACTCGACGGCGGCAGCCAGCAGCAAGCTGGAGGGCCGGCGTTCTCTGGCAGCCGACGGTGTGATTGTGAGATTCAATTTTTAGGTTAGGTCTAAAATGTGTGCTGTTTGAGATTTTCCTTTTTTTTGTTTCTCATAATTTAGCACTATTTTGAGTGTTCTATGCTATCCGACATTCACTATAACCACGTGGGATCCCTCCCACTTTCCCCTTCTCTCTTTTTGTATTTAATTTCAAAATTTGCAGAGTAATCAACAGTTTACATTTTACACTATTATGCGAGCCTGACATTTTGCGAAATTCTCTTTTCTCTCAAGTTTTGGTGTCGTTCTTAATCCTCTTGGTGAGTTTCCTGATTCTTTTATACATATGCGGATGTAAATGCATGTATGTGGATGTGCATGCCTTAGAATTGTTGACTCCTTTGCAATATTTATTTTATTTTGGAATATTTGAGATTGTAGTTAGTTTCTAGGTTTGTTGAGTGTAAACAAACACAGATTTAGTCTGGAGCTTGATAGATTTGGTTTTCTATTTTGGCAGTGTTTGGGAACTAGCATTTCATTTCAATTCTTGCATTTCAATTCCAAAATTTGAATTCTTGAATTTCAAGTGACAAGGAGAGACATTGAGCTTTATATTGAGTTAGAAAAAATTGTCTCAAATCCAAATCCAAAATTTTAAGATTTTCCAATCATTGAAAGTTGAGCCAAATCTAGATTTGAAATCCAAATTTCAATTCCCAAACATGTTGTTAGAGAATTTGGTTTTCATATTTGCTTGTATGTGATTGGTGTTACAATAAATTGGGCCTTTTTTATGTTCTTTTTTACCTGGAAAGTTATTATATTTTCTTCTCATTTGGCTTGAGGTAGAGTCCTTCTCAAAAGGATGTATAGAATCTAGTTTGAAAGAAAAAGAGATGATTATTTTCATTTTGATGTATTTGATCAGTTTGGAGTTTCTTTTCTAAAGGAAAAAAGAGACAGCTTCTTCTCCCTTTGAAATTGTGGACATATTGTGAGTGTAGTTTTTGATTAGCGCTATTAAGGGAATCGATCCAATAAGTCTCAATTGGAAACTTTGTATGGGTTAATTCTTCGATGGACATAAATGGGATGTGATTATTTTCATATGAATATTTCGTAGCGGGTATAGAAATAAACTACTCTCACCTAAAAGAAAATGGGAGTTTTTGGATTCCAAGGTACAAAAGTGATCAAAATGACAGTTTTCATCGAACGAAAAAAGTTCAAATTAACTGTTGTATTTCATTGAAGGGGCAGTCACTACTCAACGAAGAAAAAAACTTTTTAACCTATGAGCTATAAAAAAGGGTGAAGACATTATGTTTGTGTGCGTGTTCCTTCACCAAATCTCTTTGGTGATTTTTTTATTGTTTTCATCTTGGCTTGCTAACAACTCCCTCTGTCCCGATGAGTTTGCCCGGTTACTTTTTACACATAGACCAAGGAAAGAGCCCAAGAAAGAGGAAGTTACAAATATTCCCCTACCTTTTCGTAATAAGTGAGGGCTTCGATAGCTATGTTGGTTGTAATGAATGTAAGATAGTAAGGGTAAAATAGTAAGCTTAGCTGTAGTTATTTGCCAAATAAGTAAAGTGGACAAACTCATAGGGACAAGTTGACAACCCAAAAAGGAAAAGTGGACAAACTCATCGGGACGGAAGGAGTATAAATGATTCAATGGTCACTACTAGGGCATCATAGTGTTGATTTTTGAATTCGCAACAAAACCCAGTATAATCCCAAGTCCCGACTAGCTAAGAGTCTTTGGGGGGGGGGGGGGGG